TCGACCCTCGGCGGACGCGGCACCCAAAACAGCTCACAGCCACCACGCGCTCTCGACTTTTTGACTTGAACGCTGTTTGTTGCCACGCCCGCCCGTCGTTGTCCGTCGAGACAGCAAGCTGCCACCTCAACAACAACTCGAACAACATCTCGAACAAGACCAACAAGCATTTCGCTTTGAACCTCAGAGCAGCGCACAGCCACCCCGATCCACCAACGACACATACTCACGGAATCCACGCTGCTCGTATCGGTTCGCTGCCACGCGCAGTCCCCGGCTTTTGGACCAAGCGCAACATCGAGACACGTCGTCAGCAAGAGCAGTCCACCGCCACCTCACACGACGTACGACACTTTACTCCAGCATCAGCATACGAACCACGGCTGCTCGGCGCTGCGACGCGACTCGACTAGGCGTTACTTTCAGACCAATACAATCGTTTGAATGGGTCCAACTTCGAGTTTTCTATCCAAGCTCAATTTCAGGTCTCGCCCAACAAAGACCTTCCACCACGCCCGTCACTCGTTCGCTCACGGCTCGATGTATCCTGCCTCAGCTTCACTCGCTGTGAGACGTCCGTGGACTAAACGCAGACTCGAGCGCAGTCGAATGTGCAAACGCCAAAAGAATCCAAAGAATCTGCTCGTGGCCGTCCGCCACGACGTGGCGGGAGATGGTGTCGACATCCGGATGCGATCCGATTGCGCCATCGTCGACATCCGGATGCTACGCGCGATTGCGCGATCTGAACCGCGATCCAAGATCGCCACATTGCTGCCATCTTTCAATTTGCCGCCATGTTTCGTAGCCTGCGCTCGTCGTCCACTTCGACGCTCCTCGGTCGTCGCGCCTTGTCGACGGCCTCGCCTTTTGCTTCGTCCAGTGCCTTTGCCGCCGACATCCAGACCGTCCAAATGGCCGACCGCACCGAGCACATTCTGCCCGGCGGCCGGCACCTCTTTGGCCAGCTGCCCAAGGCGTTCGAAGGCGTCAAGCAGATCGGCGTCATTGGCTGGGGGTCGCAGGGTCCCGCGCAGGCCCAGAACCTCCGCGACTCGCTCGAAGGCACTGGCATCAACGTCAAGGTCGGTCTCCGCAACCACTCGAGCTCGGCCGAGAAAGCGCGCGCGGTGGGCTTTACCGAGGCTTCGAATTCGCTCGGCGAAATGTACGACGTGATCGCCGAGTCGGACATGGTGCTGCTTCTCACGAGTGACGCGGCGTGCGTGTCGCTCTACCCGACCTTCTTCCCATTGCTCAAGAAGGGCGCGACGCTCGGCCTCTCGCACGGCTACCTCCTCGGCCACCTCAACACGGTGCACGAGTCGTTCCCGAAGGATGTCAACGTCGTCATGGTCGCACCCAAGGGCATGGGCCCGAGTGTGCGCCGCCTCTACGTCCAAGGCAAGGAGGTCAACGGCGCCGGCATCAACGCCAGCGTCGCCATCCACCAGGACGTCAACGGTCGCGCGGCCGACCACGCGCTCGGCTGGAGCGTCGCGCTCGGATCGCCGTACTCGTTCTATACAA